AAGGGGTCCGGGGCCGGGAGGGGGGCAGACGAGTTTCCCTGGTGTTGGCCAGAGTGGCCACTAGGGAAACCTGGGGAGGGCTAGCCTCCCACTAGTTCGAATTAAGGGGCTACACACTAGCTAGTTCGAACTAGGCTTAATCCTCGTAAAATGAGGTTTTCCTAGTTCGAACTAGCGGAGCGCTAGTGTAGCGCCTATGAAAGTTAGTTCAAACTAACGTCCGTTAGTTCGAACTAACTCTGTAGTGTAGACATACCCTCAGTTACTGATTCCAGAGACTCTAGTTTTATAGAATCATGGGTATGTGAAAAGACCTCTTGTAGCCCTGTAGCCCATCCTGTTGCACATAGCAGGATTGACTTCACCATTCTGAAATACCTGGCCTAAACTAAGGTTTCTATTTTACAGGAGTTTTCTAATTTTTAATACTGCCATCAACACACACCTGTTTCAATGCTGTATTAAAATGCACAGAAAGCAAACCATCATTCTTAGCTATACCTTATAAACCCTAGATTTATAGGGCAAAGCTAACTGTCATTAGTAAAATACACTGAGGGCAAAATTTGCCCCACAGATTATAAAAGGAGACTCAGTTTGCAAGCTGCCCTTGTGTTAAGTGAAGGGATTAACATACCTTTCAATGGCTAGATTTGTTCTTAAACTTGCTGTTTGTGACTGGGGTCTTTTCCACTTCATTACGATTTCCCCCAAGTCACAAAAAAACACCAAACCCCTCTGAAGAACAAGAGCTCTCCTGTTAGCAAGGGAAAAGTTAGTACACTTCCAAACAATGTGAAATTCAAACCTATTGTGTAAATGAAGCAGGGGATTCTCTTTCTAAGAACAAAGGTAGACAATGAAACACTTTCACAAGGAACTGTGTTTAACTGACAGTGTGGTGACACAAGTTTAGCTTTTTGATTTGTTTATTTTCTTCTCCCTTCCATCCCACTTCCATTAGAACACCAAAGTACATATATATATTTTAAAACTGATCAGCACGTCTGGGCATAATAGAGATTAATTAGTTTTTTTACACCTGTATGAAAATTTAGAAGGTCTTTCAATTTGGAGTGTCAAAAGGACAACTGCATATATAACTATTCACATGGAAAGTGATGTTATGTAAAAGTCTAACATTACACTACCCTCTACTTAAACTGATACTCTGCCATCACTTTGCCAAAAGAACGAATTTCCCTAAGGCTGTGTCTACATTGGCATGATTTTGCACAAAAGCAATCGCTTTTGCGCAAAAACATGCTGCCTGTCTACACTGGTAGGGAGTTCTTGCACAAGAACACTGACGTTCTAATGTGTGAAATCAGTGCTTCTTGTGCAAGAACTATGATGCTCCCGGTCAGAGATAAGCCCTCTTGCGCAACTGTTCTTGCACAAGAGGCCAGTGTAGACAAGCAACATGAATTTCTTGCGCAAGAAAGCCCGATGGCTAAAATGGCCATCGGAGCTTTCTTGAGCAAGAGATCGTCTACACTGGCATGGATGCTTTTGCGCAAAAGCACATCTCTTGCGCAAAAGCACATGCCAGTGTAGATGCTCTCTTGCGCAAATACTTTAACGCAAAAACTCTTGCGTTAAAAGTATTTGTGCAAAATCTTGCCAATGTAGATGTAGCCGAGATGTTTTGAATTGACTTTGTCCTGAAGCTAAATGTTAATGGAACAACATTTTTATTAATAGGAAGCTGGCTTTACTTTGTACTTAATATAAGTAATTCTTAATTAAGTACATCATGTGACAATAAATCAGCCACTAAAGTGACTCTAATTGTAGAGGATTCTGAGGCAATAGCAATTAACTTTACAGGCCTGAATAATTTGGAGTTGCATTGTAAGACCTGGAAAATTATTAATACTTGTTATCAGGGCCACCAAAATAATCCTGAGTGTTATGTTGCTAGACATAACTGTAATATGTAATGGAAGGCCTTGTATATAATAAAAATAGGCTACAGGTGGAGCTGGGTGAGTCATTCAGTAGGAGACAAGTCTATTTGCACATCTGAAAAAAATCTTGAATCTTTAATGAAGTCAAAATGCCACAGATTAAATTCAGGGGATTTAAACCCGTAGTAGCATATCACCAGAAAAAATCCCTGAGTGCGTCTAGACTGGCTTGACCCCTCCCCAGCATTGGAGAACCTGCACTGGTGCTCCAGCCCTCCCACTGGTCCCTGTGGGGCTGGAGCATATAAAATCTGGTAGCCTGCCCCCCCGCCTCCCCAGGCTCTGGAGTGCAAGGGGAATGTGGGGAGGGTCTTCTTTCTCTTCCTCAGTCGGGGGCTGTGTCAGTGAGGGTTTTTTTGTTTCTCACTTGTGTGCAGTCCCCGACGGATTTTGTTGTGGGTCAGCAGCCCCCAGCCCCCCAAAAATGCCATACCCCTGATATAAACCACATGTAAACCACTGCAGTAACACATGCATGAGTTTGTAGATGTCCTAAAATGTGTGGCACAGATGGCTCTGTTCCGTTTAGTGAGAAAACTCTGGAACCTAACAATGACATCCTGTGCATATTAAAAAGTGACAACACAGAGGCAAGCTAAAGTAAATTACATTGCATATAAAACCAACACAGGAGCTATTCCAATTATTGTATTATTCATATTAAATTACTAAATCCCCCTATATTTAACATTTTCCAAATACTCCTCTTAAGCATACTAGACTCTCTGGAACCTGCTGCAGAGTTTAGTTCCTGTTTGACATAGCAAATTCAGGCCCTGGCTATATAAGCAGCTCCAACTGAGACCCCTGCAGTGTAAGAAGAAAAAGACTGATCATTTTCCCTTTCTTTTCAGCCATACTACATTGCTGTGAGCTGGGGGTGGCTGTTTCTCCAGCCAAAAAGGGAAGCACATCCTATACCCTAGTCCTTTCCTTTATCAAAGCACTGTACACACGGTAAAGTAACTGGCACACATGCAAGCCTGTTCACTATGTGAACATTTCAAGTTGTTAGCAAATAAAGGTTTGAAGATTTGACACATTAAAATGAGAAGAAAATGAAAATCTGTATCAAAGTATGTTCAAAATACAAGAAAGTAATTGAAAATTTTAAAAAAAACGAAGGAGAAAAAGATGAACTTGAGTCTATAATGATAAAGGACATGGCCCAATTACTGATGCAAATATTTATAGGCTAATAGTTCTAAATCTACAAACAGTAAGCTGTTTATTTAAATAAAAAGTTTTATTTGGAGATTGCAATCATATTGTTTTCTTAAGGTCAGAAGGGGCCATTGTGTTTTGAGTTGTCTTTTAATCCTGCAGCAAAGCACATTGATGAATGGAATTCAAAGCATTAATCTACTGAACATTTTTCCCTTTGTCTTTTCAGACACCAAAATAAACCCAAACCCATTTATTAACAATTAAGCACTGATTTTTCACTGTTTTTTGTTGTGGTAATAAACACTGATAAATTCCCAGAAAAAATAAATAAAATAAAAAGGGAAAACAAAGGACCCTAGTTTTCTAGTAAAAACAAAAAAACAAAAACCAGGCTAACTCAGGACTATGTTATGCAAACCTCACCTACTCACAATCAATCCCACCGAAGCAAATGGAATTATTGTTCACCACAAAAAGAGTTACATAGTCTGTTTTGTCTACTCCTGTTTTTATTGCAATTTTGAAGCTCTAGCTCTAGGAGACAAGTGATGAGGTGACAAGGACAGCTTTCTTTTCAAAATTGCCTCAATGTTAGCTCCCAGAGTTGTAGAAAAAAGCTTGAAAATATGACACATGGGCCATAAAGTCACAAAAACCAGAAGGCAAATAAGAAATAACATATTGTACCTATATTACAGTCAAGCTGATCTCATAAGTTAGGGAGGGCATGACTTGGGATGTTTTGGGCATTTGGATTTGGCTATCCAGAAATGACTCTCCAGTGTTTTTGCATGGCTACTACATTGAACCAGGCGAAACATGGCTTCATTTGAATTTTGAGTTGAGGTTGATTCAGACTCTAAGAGAAACCCAGTGAGCAGATCCCCATTGAGGAAAAGTTTGCAGGAACTCCTGTAAACCAACTCCTTTGAGTACTGCGGTGGCAGAAATGTCGGGTAACAAGGGCAGCAAGAGGCACATCGCCTGTAACGCCTTGGAACAGTTCCGAACTTTTACTCTGCTTTGCAGGGCGCCAGGATCTACCAAACCCCCAGCTCTTTGTCCTACTCACCGGGGCAACACTGAGACCACTCGTTTCCACACACCCCCCCCCCCCCGGACCCCTTCACTT